GCCCCCCTAAGTAAATAATAAAAAAGACTTAACAAACTGAGGCTCTGTCCCCACTCCCCTACACACAAACATAAATCCTGGGTCTATCCCAGGTTACAAAGTGTCTTCTAGAATGGACAAAAATAAAGAGGGAAAGCAAGAGTGTGGTTTTGTTTTCTTAAATTTTTATCCCCCTCCTGCTTTTCCTAAAAAAGGGGGAGCATTTTAGCTCCATAGTAAGTATGTGAGGTAGGTTTGGCTACCAGTAGTGACTTGCCCAAGGCCGTTCAATAAAATCATGGTCAAGGTAAGGGATTTCAGCCACAGCTTGCAAATCCATAAATGAGCAAGCAAGCAACCATTATTCATGTAGTAGGTTGGAACTATATTTCAGACCAGTTACCCAAACAGATTCTGAGAAAAGAAAGGATCAGAATATTTGATGAATATTGAAAACAATGAGATTAGAGTGATTGGAGTGGGAAGTAAGAATGTTGTCACAAAACATAGCTACAGCTCATGGCACCATTAGAAGCGGCATAATGTCGCTGAGTTGCAGAACTGCAGGGGAGGGTTTCCTGCAGCAGCAGCAGCAGCAGCAGCAGCAGCAGCAGCAGCAAGAGGGCTGGACTAGATGACCTGGAAGTGTCTTCAAACTCAGATTCTAAAATGGAAACTTCCAAAGTTTGAGATTCAAGTTCCTTAGTATCCAAGCCAAAACCTCATTGAATTTCAGCTCAGCTCCGAAATAACTTTGGCCTATTCCAAGCTGGCCCGCTGCCTTCCCCTTCCTCCAATACTTATGAAGTGGTGCACAAATCCTCAGCCCTTACTAAGGACCTGGAAGCCCTGGTAAACCACAATTCCAAAAAACAAACAAACAAAAAACACCCTATGACTCTTTCCACTGGGTACTTTCTGTGGGTAAAACTTTGGGGTCTACTGAAGGGCAGTGGAGCAGCCTCATACACATGGGTATGTATAGCTCCTGCAACTGCTATTGGAAGGTAAATTGTGGGGATGGATGCTTGCAAGTAGGGGAGGAGGAGGAACACTGTAGGGAAGTTCAGGTGGCATAGTGGAAGTCTTGCAAGGAAGCACTTCCATTCCCCCCCCCAAAAAAAATCCCACAGAAAAAGCCCTATTTCCACCAACAACAACAACCTGGAAAAAAAATGTATGAAAAGCTCAGAAATAATAAGTCCATTTGAAATTGAAAGGAAAGGGGAAACTCCTATTCCCAGTAGTATAGTTATTTCATAAAGTTATGAAAACCAGGATTTATATTGTGTATGCACACAAACATTCACACATTGAAAACTCCATAAAGAAATTACAATGTAAACAAGTATTTATTCCAACACCCAGTAAAACATTTTTCGACCAAACGTCATGGCAACAATCTCGCTATAAGACTATCCTGCAAGAGAGAGAGAGAGAGAGAGAGAGAGAGCACAAAGAGCATGATTTTCCTTTTGGGAAAGAACACCAAGGGTGTGTGAGAGATGATATCTCTACCTGGTATTTTCACCTTGAAAAATGGGTGTATAATATTAGCCAACAGCTGCCTAGTTCCAGCACTAAGATGTTTTACAATTTGTACTCCCATCTTGTCCCTTGGTATTTCACATCTTCCTGCAGATGCAAAGCTTTTTATATTAGAGACTAACTCCAACAAGCTTTCCCATCAGAGATGCAACTACAGCCAATTCCATGAAGGAGCTTTGGAGCCTTTCCATCTGCCCCAGGAACCTTACCAAGGAAAATGGCCTCCATGTTTCCCAAGGAGCAAGGCTCACTGTTATCCCAGCCATTGCCAAATGGTGAGCCGCACCTTTGCCTTATGGATAACCTGCAGAAATTTCCAGCAGTGAACACAGGAGGTGAAAGACAGCAATAATTATTCAGGTAAACAGAAGGTGAAGCTTCTACTTCTGAACAAACACACAAACACACGCAGTTTAATTGGCAATTCCACATATGAAATACTAAGTACCTGTGCTGCTGTTAGCTATTTTAAATTCTTTTAAATTTTGTGTTTTAAATTTGTAACCTTAAGGTGAAAGGAGGGTAATAAGTAACAGTAACACAGAAGATGGGATACAGCTCTCTCTCCGGCTCACTCACAAACCAGAGGACGTAGACTGTTTTAAATAACTTTGTTTCTAAAGCAAGTGGCATCATATGCTCCAAGCGGGTTTCTTCTACCTTTCCATTGGACCTAGTTTGGGTACTAAGGCTTAAAGAGATGAGGAGGGGTTTATCTAATGATGGCTACAGAACAGCAGCTGCAATACCCAGGCATTTGATTTTTTTCAGTGACTCCGAGTTCTATCTCATTGCATTGCAGGAGGGTTATTTAAGATGCCTCCGAAGAAAGATACTAATAAGACTTTCCAGATTTTTCCCCAGTGCTCCAATAATTCAAACTCTAATGAAAGATCCATTAGCAGAATACACTTTCACTGCTCAGTCTACAGACAGGCAGCATTCACAGAGTGTTCTCCGTTAACTACTCATGTGCCTAGGAAGTGCCACAGGAAGCTGCCTTATTTTAAGTCAGGCCACTGGTCTTTCTAGCTTAGTATTGTCCACACTGAATATGAGCTAATAGCATAGTAAACTAGTGTCATTTTTAAGTTGACTTTCTCTGCGGTTAGTTTTCACTGAAAAAAACATCAAACAAGCAGAGGCATCACTGCCATAACTGCCCCAACCTGAAGAAGTGTAAGTGTCCTCACAAAATTGTGACCACAGATATTCCTTGTTGATCCATTACAAGCCACCATGGTGCTTATCTTTGTACTAGGTTCGTCTCTTTCTGTCTCCCTTGTCTTTTCTCCCACCGATTGGACATCCCACGCTATCACAAAAAGTCAGCCTATTTTTTTATCTGACTCTCTGCATGAGTGTACATTGGTCATTGGTGCACTGACTTGGGAACCATGGGTTTCAAGTTCAAACCTCTCCATTCAGCCACAAGTTCAGAAGATAGCCTCAGTTAAATTACTCTGGGCTTCAGTGAACCCAGTCTATAAAATGGAATCAATAATGACGTAACTACAGAGGTTTATTTATTTATCACATTTGCATCCTATTGCTTAGTTATGGTGTGTGGGGGAAACTGTACAACTTTTGAAGTTTTCAAGAAATTCTTCAGGAACAGTGTTTTATATTAATTCAGCAGCTACTTAAAGGAGCAGACAAGTCAGATAAAACAGCAGCTAAAGTCCTATGATCTAACTATGTGCTGATTTGAGTATTAAGCTGCAAGTAGTTTGAGGAAAGGCTGTGGCACCTTGCTCTTAGATATGCAAGTCTGGAAATTCTGAAGAGATCTACTCATCATTAGCAGCAGCCAAAGAAAATTAAATTGTTATACATAAGAAATGTTTAAGCCTTCAAGCATCTACCAATCCACAGAAATATACCAGTTCAAACAGAGCTCAGCAGAAAATTCCTCCCTGGCACATATCCAGAAATGTTCTTCCAATTCCACTTTTCTCTACTGCTGATTGGCAGTTCAGTAGAGAAAAAAGCTGCTTCACTTGTCCAAGCATCCTCAAAATGTCACTTAGGTGACAAACCTACACTTACTAATGAGAAAGGACCATTGAATTCAGTGGATCTTATTGCAGAGTAGACATGCACAGGATCATGCTGCAATGTTAGCAGAGTCATTGCTATAGGAAAGCATCAATAAAAAGAATTTAAAAAGTGAGTGCAAATAAACACAAAAAATTGTTCTTGAAAAATTTAGTAACTGAATGTGTATGTGTGCAGCTGGACACCTACAATAATGGCATGGTGGAAAAACAAGTCATTTGAATGTGATGTGTGCACCTGGCCCTTCACTTATGTGACCATATCAATATTCACAGATAACAGGGTACAAAACTACATGTTTAAAAAATGCAAATAATTTTTTTACTGAAAATGATTTGAAATTGCATTTCAATTACATAAATTAATATTTGCATTTGCGATACAATCCTATACTTGTAACATGCAAAGTATGACAGCTATGACTCTCAAATCCTGTGGTGGTAAAGTTGCTCCCTTAATAAATGGAAACCTAAGACTACTTCTTGCCTTGCTGTGTGGTACAGCATATTATTGAATCCAATGTGTTCTATGTTGAATTTTTAAGTTCAGTTCATTTGTGTGTCTTTTCTCACATTCATGCACTGGCTCCCCTTCCCTATATATTATGTTCACTCAGACACACACACTTTTCTGTGCTTAACAGCAAGGCAAAACTGACTGCACTGAGTTATTTACTTTGCTGCAGTTTAATCCTAGGTAGCTCCAAGAAACTGCAGCCCTTCTCCATTAACATACACTGCTCTTTCTTCCATCCACTGTTCTGCTAAGTAAAAGAAACATCTTCCACAATGCTGTGAACCTCAATACCATAAAAAATAATAAAAGCATACAGGACACTTCCCATCCCAACCCCAACCCCAGCTTTGTTCCTGCACACCTCCTCCCCTCACTTTCTACCTCTTAAAGGATACTTGTCCTTTGTTGCCTACCCTCCATCTGTTTGCACCATGCCCAGTATTCAGTAGTAGTGAAGTAAAGGTTTCTAACTTACATCAGAGGCTATCTATTATCACCTGGGGCAGCCCCTTGCCAATACACAACTTCCTTATAAGTAATTACAGAGCAAAGCAAAGCACTAATCAAACACAGTTCAACGTTTCCTCGGGTTCCTCTTTTTCACGTTCCTCTTTACATAACTAACACACACCGTAGATACTACAACATCACCTAGTTACTTTGTTAGTATGCATTTCCACTGGCAGGAAACTTTTGCTTTTGATAGTCATGCCTTTTATTATTCCTTTCGAAGGAAAAAAACCCTTTTCAATGTACCGTTACTTCCGAAGATATCTATTACATCACCGGGGGGGTGGGGTTTGCCAATACAGAGCTTCCCTCTCTGACCAGGTAAGAAATTATGGAGCAAAACAAAGCAATAAGCAAAGTTCAAAGTTCTGCCACGTTCCTTTACCTACCTCTAGCACAATGTATAAACTCTCGAGCATCACCTAACTATTAATTCGGTGGACGCATTTGGACGGGCAGGAAACTTGTTTTTGACACCCTCTTTCAGACCAAGGTTATATTTCTTCTGATCCGGATTATTTACGTTGGGCTGCTTCCCAGGTATTGTCATATTTTCCAACAGGAAAGCTGCCTTCTTTTTAAGAGTCCTCTACTCTAGCAAATTACTTCCAGGCACTATCTGGAGGCAGGCGACCCAGAACCACCCGATAGTGCGTGTACGAACATGCCTTCGAAAGATAAATTCTCCGTAACAACTTCCGGGAAACCTATCAGCAGCGTGCAAGCCAATAGGGGATTGTTTTCAGCCCTGCAAACCGGTATTAGTAGACGCAAGAGTGCCTCTGAACATATGCAGAATACCTCATCATCCCTAGGCAGCCTGGCAGAACCTGTCCTCATGAGAGGGGTGGAGAGGCAACTCTGGCTTACTTGCCTTTTTAGAAAAGAGGTCCAGAGATAAAATAAACCAGCGATCGGAAATAAAGCAACTGGGGAGACTGGGACGCTTGCAAGCCGGCGCGCGCGCGCAGCCCAGCAGGAGCGAGGTCTCACCATTGCAGGGAGAGCAGCCCGGACGCCCCCACCATGGTCCAGCTGCCCCGCTGCTCACGTGGTCGGCTGCATCTGCTCCGCAGCGGCTCTTCGCGCCGTCGTCTCCTCCGGGTAGAGGCGAGGCGGGCGTCTCGCACGGCGGGGAAGCAGCGCGCCGCCTCGACCATTCGCTCCGTCCCGCGTCTTTCACTCACTATCCGGCGCCGCGGAGGGAAGTCAAAGCCGCTCAGCCGCCGCGGCTGCTGCCTGCTAACACTTTGCGCGCCCCTCCGCCGCTTCAGTGAAGTTGCTGTCCTGGGACGAAGCGATGGGAAAGCCCGCGCCGAGCAGACCTTCACGCTCCTTCACGGGCTACTTCCTCTCCTCTCCGAGGCAGCCGGCGTCTCCCGCTTTCCCTCCAGCTGCCTTTCTTAGGTAGGCAGCGCGCTGCCTGCTTTGCGCCGGGCCAGTCAGTGGCAGCCAATCAGAGCGGGCTCCCCGCCGGGCGCCTTCCTCCGCTCCAGAGGGGGAAACGGCGGAGGAAGAATAATCCGTGGGGAGCCGCAGAGCAATTCGGCCACGAGGGAAACCAGGCGCTTCCCCGGCTTGCGCTACGGTACCTTGCAGTGTTGCGCGCGCGAGCGAGCGCTCTCTCTCTGGAGGGAAGGAAAAGACGCCTGTTGGGAAGCCTCGCTTCTCTTTATATCCCGATGCGGGGGCGGGGGGAGCGAGGCAGCCGCCCCACCTGCGGCGCAAGGAAGGACTCCGCGGAGTTTTCTGCGTTTCCCTTCGCGCTCGTGGAAGCACGCGGGCGACCGCGCAGCCAAGTCTGGTGGAAGCGCCTCTGCCTCCTCCGCACGCCGCGGGTCAAACCGTCCGTGGCAACAGGTGCTGCTGATCTCGCCTCGGGCTTGCCGAGCAACCGCGCGCTTTCCGGTCAACCGCAGACACCTGGCCGCCGAGTGAGTCCCTCCAGAGCCGGGAGTTGCTTCTGTGCCCCAGGCCTGCGCTTTAACTGGCTGCAGAGCCGGAGGACAGGCAGCAGGAGGGGCTGCTTCGCTCAGCAGCGCGGCACTGCGAGCCCAGAGAAAGCCGAACTTTTTCCTGCCCTGCAGGTGTGCCCCCAAAGTAATGGGGAATCTTCAGGACAAGGAAGGACTAGGGAGTAAACCCAACACAAATCCGGAGTGGAGTCCCTAAAGTGGTTGGATGGCACCTTGTATGCTTCCTGGCAACTCCCGTAGCCAAGCTGGTGCCAAGCGTATTGCTCTGCTTTTCTTTGGACCGCATCAGTGAGGCCAAGAGGGAAGTCTTGTCGCCTGGGCAGCCCAGGACCTCCATACACACCGCCCAGGCTTGTGCCCCAGGAAGCTCACGTTTGCTGCTGCTGACGCACCGGTTTGATTTTACCCCCCAGAGGTGCACTCCATTGTCTTTTGAGAAGGGCGAAACTAGGTTTTATTTCACCCAGGAGCCTCAATGGACGCTTCATGGGGGGGGGGAGCTAGCTAGCCGCCCCCATAGCTACAACACTGCTTTTGAGACAGACAGATGCCAGCAACAAGGGGCTCTTTACTTTAGGCTACAGCCTAAAATAGGTTGGGGGATCTGCGGTCTTCCAGACTTTCCTGGCCTGTAGCTCAATGGAAGAGCACATGCTGCACATGCAAAAAGGGTCCCAGGTTCAACCTCAAGTGTCTCCTGGCAACAGGACACTTCCTGAAAGGTCAGAGAGCATCTGTCCATCAGTGTAGACAATACCGAGCTAAATCGAGCAATGGTCTGTCTCACTCTGATGCAGCTTCCCATGTTCCTTTTGGCCATGCTGGCTGGTGCTGATGGAAGCTGGAGCCCAGCAATATCTGGAGGGGTTCAGAAACGCCATCGGGCCTAAAGGGGACAAAAGAATAGCATGGGAGGTCAGGTTTTGGCAGCTCACAGACTTACCTGCTGGGATTAATATTATTTTGCCATAGGAAATATATATGGTAATGGTGTTGTCATGGAACGTTTTTTCCATAACTGAAAGCCAAGGGCTATAGCAAACTGTGTCCCAACCAACAATTAAACAAAAGGAGAGTTCAGATTACTGTATAACGGCTTTTTCACGTCTGTTTTCTGAGATAAAGCTCTTCGGTTAACAACAATGATGCATCATGCAAACATGGCGATGAATTCAGTTAATCATGATTTGCATGGTTTGGTATAACATGGGCATCTTGGCAGGGCACACTCTGCTCCTAAGAAGATGCACAGTTATCTCCTTAAGCAAGAAGAAGCACCTCTAAGACACATGTTCTAAGAGAGACACGTGCTTTGACACCTGCTGCATAGAGCAGTGGCTCCCTGCCAAGGTATAAATATGTACAGCTTGGAACTCTGCCTTTATATCTCAATTCACCGAGCACATCACTATAATTTTGCATTACTCAGTTCCTTCTAAGGGTGTTGACTCTCTTGTCCTTTTGGACCACATGCACCCACGCTTGCAGGCTCCTTATTTCTGCTTGTTGATGCACATGCCCAATTTTATAATCGTAGCACCCTGGGAGACTCGTTGGTCACAAGCTTCTGCCTCTACATAAGGAACAGAAACTTGTAGCCTTCCAGCTATTGCTGGACTCAGCTCCCATCTGCCCCAGCCAACAAGGCAAATGGTCAAGGATGATAGCTGTAGTCAAGGATGATAGATGTAGTCAAGGATGATAGCTGTAGTCATATGTAGACCCACTGGTTCCCTGTCCCTGCTCTACATGATCTCTAGAACTGAGGCAAATTATCTGGTGGATTAGAAACTTTGGTGTGTTCTCAGTACTTGTGGCTCACCGCAAGCCAATATTCTGCTAGGAGTCTTTCCCACATCATGGTCCTAGCCAAATTTACCTGGAAGACAATGCATTTAAATAAGACTTATTTTCTGATAAGTACATTTCAATTTTCAGCTTTGGGGTATAATGTTCTGTACCCCCTCCACTGAAGGCCTTAGGTGTAAGTATATGTAAAATAAACCATATTTCTTAAAGTAACTATTCTCCACTGTGCCTTGATTTCCCCAACCGAAACACAACCCTGGGTGAGTGCCTGGAACCCCTTGGAATCTTGCTACCGCTCAGCAGAGCTTGCAGGTGGCATGTAACAATATAAATTAGCACAAAGGTTTTATTCACATCTGTGCTACCTTTTGCCATCTTTCTTTGGTGACATGTAAATAATCATTCTAGGATACAGCCAGGTTAGCAATCAGAATGCAGCCTTATCTGAATGGCATGGGAACTACATGGGTAGCAGAATGTCTGTTAAGAGGAACCTTTATAGGCCAGGACACTGGTGTAGCTGTTGTGCATGAACTTGCGTTGTTATACATTGTTTCTACATGTCATCACAAACACCCCAAAAAAGACGTAGCCAATGACCTCACTGCAATGGGAAAATGTCCCCAGCACACACCTAGCAGCACTGCGCACACACACACACACAGAGAGAGAGAGAGAGAGAGAGAGAGAGAGAGAGAGCATGCAAGACAATACCATACCATCTCTACTCCATCTGATATTGCCCCCGTGCCGCACACCCTGTCATCTCACTTCCTGATATACTGGTGGTGCTGTGCTGTGCTGTGATGCTGTGATTTAATTCATCATCATCATCATCATCATATATTGATATCTAGTGTAGTGATATATGTGTGCGTGTGTGTGTGCAATATTTGCTTTAGAAGCATCAGACCTTGGTGTTTACACCAAGTGATGGTGTGTTGAGTTCTGTCCTATCTTAAGCACTGCCAAGGGGGATGGGGTAGGATGTGATCTGAGACCACTTAATTTCCCCCCTCTTCCATTGAATTCAGTGGGAGAGAAATTCCTTGCACCAGGTTGAGGATGGGTGTAAAGTTCTGCCATCAATGGTGGGTGGCAAAGAATTGAAGGTGCACAGGATTTGGCTAAAGTGTACTCCTCCATGCCACCTACCCCACCCAACTCTGCATCCCATTTTGGCTGCTCTGCTGATCTATTGGGGGAGTTCTGCTGATGTATCTCTATGTTGACAGCATATCATAAGTTTTGCCCATATAGCAGAGCTTCTCCCAGATCATACAGCCACTCAGCCTGCCGATATCAAATTGCACCCCAAGTTGCTTGTTGGCTGTAGTTGCAGTGGTTGATCAAAGAGAATGCCATTTCTAGGCACTCAATGCAAAGATGCTTGTGGCTTCCTTTCACTGTTTATTTGAGTGAATACATTTGTATCAGTGTGTGCTTGCCACTTTTGTGATACAGACTTCCTATTTCACCTAATCCAACTATTGTGGGCTTCCCAGAGACATCTTGTTGGTCCCCATGGGAAGCAGGGTGTGGGATCTTTGGTCTGACCCAGCTAGACACTTCATTTTACAAAGATGTACTATGCAGTCTGTTTTTTAAGGTTATGGGCGCAGAAACATAAAATGAATGTATAAGTATTTTGTCCAAGGATTTTGTGTAAAATCAACTTGTTTAATTAGACTACTATTTCAGGCAACTAAAAAGCAATTGATGCCTGACCCAATAAAGCTGACCCAATTGAGCACATGTGGTTTGGGAAAGTATAGGAATGAGGAAAGGAAAACATTTCCATCTCCACTGGCATTTTGGCTGCAAAATGTTGTCTAGAGGGAATATTCCGAATGGGATATTAATCTGAGCTGCCTGATTTGTGTCAGGCAAGAGCTGCACTTAAGAGGATGGGAACGGGAACCAGGATGTCCTTGAATCAAATCCCACTTCAGTCATACACAATATTTGCCTACAGATTACAAAGTTGGTGCATGCTTTGAGTACAAAGCATTATATCTATATATAACTACTGTAATAGTCTCTATTGTCCTTTTGGTGCCTGCTAAAGATATTTCTCTTGCAACAGACCTTGTAAATGGAGATATTTATACCATACCCATATTAGACTGCAATACCTCAAGGACTGCCTCTCCCCATATAAACCAATCTTGACCCTGCGATCATCATCTGAGGCCCTTCTTTATATGCCTCCTCTGAGAGAGGTCTGGAGGGCGGCAACACAAGAACAGGCCTTTTCTGTGGTGACTCCTTGCTTGTGGACTCCTCTCCCCAGGGAGGCTCACCTGGTGCCTTCATTACATATCTTTAGGTGCCAAGGAAAAGCATTCCTCTTCTCCCAAGCATTTGGCTAATTAAACAATCTATAGCCTCAGCACCTAGGGCTTGCCGATTGAAAGGTCAGCGGTTCGAATCCCCGCGGCGGGGTGCGCTCCCGCTGCTCGGTCCCAGCATCTGCCAACCTAGCAGTTCGAAAGCACCCCTGGATGCAAGTAGATAAATAGGGACAGCTTACCAGCGGGAAGGTAAACGGCGTTCCGTGTGCTGCGCTGGCTCGCCAGATGCAGCTTTGTCACGCTGGCCACGTGACCCGGAAGTGTCTCCGGACAGCGCTGGCCCCTGGCCTCTTGAGTGAGATGGGCGCACAACCCCAGAGTCTGTCAAGACTGGCCCGTACAGGCAGGGGTACCTTTACCTTTATAGCCTTTTAAACTGGGTGGGGGTATTGCTTTTGTTTGTTATTGTGGTATGTATTTTGGTGTTTTTATATTGTAAACGGCCCTGTGATCTTCAGTTGAAGGGAGGTATGGAAATTTAAATCATCATCATCATCATCATATATTGATATCTAGTGTAGTGATATATGTGTGCGTGTGTGTGTGCAATATTTGCTTTAGAAGCATCAGACCTTGGTGTTTACATATATTCATTTTCAAAGTGATTAACATTATTACTTTTTATTTCAGCAATGTATATACTATTTAATTATAATCATCTCTAAACAGTGTACAAGTGAGAAAACAATGCAATAAACAACAAAGTAGTTGAAACCATAACATCAGTAATCAGTTAAATGCCTGCTGGTGTTTTTTAAGTTCAATAGGTGTTGGAAGTTCAACAAGGAGGAGATCTTTCTGACATCAGCTGGAAGGGAGTTCTATAAAATGGG